CCCCCACCCAATCAGAACACAGCCAAGCCCCCACCCAATCAAGTTCCACCCCCACTGGCAGTTAAAAGGAGGAAGCAGCTGCAATCTCCATTACTCTGAGAAGCACAGAGCTGGAGACAGAAGCCTGAAGATGATGAATGAGACTTCATCGAAACGTTGCCTAGATACTTCAAATCTTACGCGGGAGAAAACCCGAACAACCAAAGATCTACATATATATATATATATTCACTACCACAATTATATCTTCTTTTGCCCTTTATAGTTTAATCGATCTTTGTTCTATCCATTCATACCAGCAGTTCCAGCTGTCATAGTACATTGATGTATCTGTTCCTTTTAATGCCAAAGTTAATTTGTCCATCTCTGCACAATTTGCTATTTTTTGAATAATCAATTTCTCTGGTGCAATATGAGGCTGCTTCCAACATTATGCAAAGGCCAGTCTGGCCTCTGTCAAAATATTTAGTATTGTATACTTCGCTTTTTTTGAGATTTGTTTATTAAAGATCCCTAAAAGAAAGAGTTCTGGTTTAAATTTGATCTGTTTTATTGTCATTTCCTCCATTTTCTAATTTTCTGCCAATATTTTTGTGCCTCTATGCAAGGCCACCACATATGGAAGAAAGTTCCCTCCTTTTTTTTACATTTCCAGCAATTCAGACTCATGTCATTAAATCACAACAGTAGCTGTTGTTTGTTGAAGCTGAATAGGGAAAATTATCCCATCAATAAACACAGGATTAAATGTCATCAAGCACAGAATTAACTTTCACCAAAACCTAGTTTTAGACCAAAACTCAGAAAGAGTCTGTAAATTCACGTTTGAATGTCAATTTTTCTAGCTAGCCAAGAAGCCTTGCTGAATGTCACTCATCTTGATTCCCTGTCACTAAAAGCTTTGCTTCATTATTCAATTATTTCTTCAAAGTGCTGATTGTCCAGGGAAGTATTTCCTCCCAGCAGCAGTGTAAAAAGCTTAAAACAACCCTTCCCTTTTAAGAAAGCCACGCCCCAAAGCTCCAGAGATAGTAAGTCTAGGCTGGCTGCCAAGAACGTAATAAGGGTGGAAAAAAACAAAAGGAGATTGCTTCTAACTACCGGTTCTCCGAACTGCTTAGAAAGTTCACAAAGGCTTCTACAGAACCGGATAAAACCAGTAGAATCCCACCCCTGATATAAATATAATATATTGCTCTGATTTAAAGAGGTGAATAGAATACAACCTTTTATTTATTAAGACAGGGTCCTTGTTCCAAATTGAAACAACTGTGATTTGGCGACTGGTGATTATCTTTGCCTTAAACCCGCTCCTTTCTCATTAAAAAAATAAAGAAGGCATAGATTGGTATCTTCGTTAATAATACATATCCATATATAACCAAAAAATGATGGTTGTCTGGGATACCACTCAAATTATACTAAAAAGGTGCTAGAATACTCTCACAGAAGTCAGAGGTGACAATGTATAATACTTACTTGATGATGTCCCCTTCAAGAGCAATCACTCGTTTAATTATCTTCTGTTCTGGGTTTCTTGGAGACCTAGGTAAAAAATGGGTGGGGTGATTATTCTCTCAGCAGAGTTCTTATTCTTTTAAACAAAATGGAGAGACAAACCACCTTGAAAATGAGAACTGTGCAGATTTTTGTATTCTGCCTGATATTGCATCTATCATTGCAGAAGTGAAGGTATTGCTATCACTATCAAGTAAATCCGAAGACCAAGGTAATTTATTCTCTTTTTGTTGCAAAATAAATGTAGAAAATATTCACTGGTGATCAAATTAATACCCTATTATAGAGAATGCTGAGATGGATTCAAATATTTAAAGATGAATTTACTACTAAATGCCAAGACAAGTAGCATACATAAACATTTATGTCAGTCATTTATTTAAGAGTAAATGGAAAATTACATAATCTGATGAAGACATTTCTCTCTTAGAAACAGTTTTTTGAAGAAAGATCTATATTGCATGGAAGAAACTTAACTTAAAAAGAAATGATAGTCAGAGCAGTTATAAGACACTCCACTAAATTAAAAAAAAGAGTATAGAATCTGCTCTGATTATCCAACAACTTCCTGCAATACTGACTGTATAATACAATGGTCAGAAATGCTCACAGAACCGGTAGTAAAAACGTTTGAATCTCACCGTTGATTTGCAAGCTTCATAGGTCTATAAAGGAAAGGAAAGCTGTGAAGTAATATAATAAGGACAGAGTTTCTTTCTTTCTTTCTTTCTTTCTTTCTTTCTTTCTTTCTTTCTTT